AAACTTTCTGAGCGCTACCCATGACAGTGTTTGAGCAATCGCGAGAGATGAAAGCATTCACGTTGCCATCCACGTACGAACACGTGAAATTTGACATAACTCTGCAACCAGAGCAGCTGGAATGCTGGAACTTTCTGTGCTTTACCCAGGACCGTGTTTGAGCAAATGCAAGCGAACAATTCATTCACGTAGCCACTCACGCACGAACACGTGAAATTTGACGCAAGTCTGCAACCAAAGCAGCTGGAATGCCGAAACATTCTGAGCGCTATCCATGATCGTGTTTGAACAGGCATAAGCGATGAAACCATTAACGTAGCCATTCACGTGCGAACACGTAAAATGTGACGTAACTCTGCAACCGAAGTATCCAGAGCGCTGAATTTTTTGGGCATGGATTGAGAGACATTGTAATAATTTCTAACAGTCGTGGTGGCCAGTCCCAACTCTGTTAGCTAGAAATATCTGCCAGGAAGAATGTGCCACTGGCGAAAAGAACCTGTGGGGGAAACTGTGCGAAAAACGCATCCTCGTGCCGGCAGCCGGTACGCTTTCTACTAAGTTATAATAATGAATTTAAAAAAAAAAAATACCATCTCCAGTTTCAAGGATTTTTATCGGCGATGAATTTCGCAAATTCCAGACAGAAAACTGCCTTATTTTTCCCTTTCCCACCTCTGCTTCCAGAAAGGAATGTTACGGCTAGACAAAAATTCTGAAAGAGAAAAACAATGAGGAAGATGAAAAATCTGGATCCTTGCGCTCCATATATTCTACTACAGTAACGTGCTATACTAATTCGTTTTCAGTTTTAGGCATTTTTTCAACAGGTGGGAGAATAACGTGGTCTATTCAATATTCCTTTTGCCAACCTCACGTACTGTAGGTACTGCTGGTGTATGTCAAGGAGTAAAACCCGTCATCAGTTTGCTAGTAATCAACTGTAGAAGGAGGAAACCATCGAAACCTTGCCTGCATGTGATTGTTGTTGGCATTTGCTACCAATTGGGGGTAATTCCGGAGGGCCTCCGCATCTAATAGTGAGCATAAAAGAAGGGTTTTGACTTTTGTTTGGGTATAAGATGCGTTGGTAGCACTGTAATTGGAATTGGCACGCTAATATTAAGTTTACAAAATCACAGGGCGATGTTGCAGGAAAGAAGAAAATTTCGGCCTATTTGGAGACGAAGTCAAATTACAACACCAAACTGATTGACACAATTGCACTGAATGCTTTTAACAAGTATGAATGGGGACCACTAGCATATTACGATTCTGTATGAATCAGATTATTTCTTAATCTTTCTGCTTGGAATTTTTCTTTTTCTTGCGCATTTACTTTTTCAGTTTTTATTCACTCACTTAAGCGGTGAAGTACCACATCATGCTAACATTGGCGAAGAGGTAAGAAAAATACACCAATGACCACTCGGGACGAGTAAAATCTTTTCATAATACTTCTGTCATGAAAACCGTCGAGCTGGTTGTTCTTTGAGGAAGCAAAATGTACATAGAGGTTGTAAGCAAGCTGACCCACAAGCGATGCGACAGTGGTTATAGCACCTGGAAAAAGTCTGCCAGCAGCAGTAGCATAACTGGAAAATCAACTATGAAGCTGATCAAAGTTTTTGTTTACTTTTTTTGTCAGCTTGTTTACTGAGTCGTTTATTTTCGCACTCGTCCATTCGTTTACTGTTTTTTTTTTATGCTAATTTAATGCTGTTTATATTTATCTCGTTTCTTAGCTTACTGCTGTTTATTACGTATTTGCTTTTGCGACTTTCATTTACGTGTTTATTGACTTGCTGCTACTTCTATCTACTTTTTTGTTGACCTGTTCCTGCTTATATGTACCTATAAGCTGCTGCTGAAACGAATATCATGGTTTAGGAGTAAATTTTGGAAAAAAACATACAAAATTTTTCTGAGTCTCACAAAAAGGCGCAGTATTGGAAAACAAGAGCTTAAAGATTTTGGCCAATTTTGTCATGTACTTAATTGTTTCCATGTTATTTTGTTTATGCAGAGACCGTCTGATATACTGCTTTCGGCTGAGTTCTTGAAAAATCGTTATTCGATATTTTTTGGGATGATCGCTGTTGGGATGGCTATTATGATATGTAGCGTTTCGTTCGTTCTAATCCGCGCATTACTAAAAAAACTCAAAAGAAAGGCGGCAAAAAAAGTAAGTTCTCAAAATGCCACTCATTTTTCTGTCTTCCAGTAGGCGCACATATTACTGAACATTTGCTGAATACGTTCATTTTGCATATATCATTTGAGGTTCTTCGACGTAGGAAGAGACTTGAAATGCCCAGTGGTCGGTGAGGAAGGACAGGAGCTAAAAAAAAGAACGGTGAAGTTTTCTAATACTACTTTCCCGCCCCATTATACACTTCCTTTAGTGCATCCCCCGCGTTGAAATGTTCGAATATCTGGTCCGAAGGGATTTTCAGTTTGCTTGCAGGACAATGTTCAGAGTATTTGGTTTTATTGTATGAATGGAATTTCCATGTTCTAGTGCGTTTCCATTCCCTTCATACTTTCAGGAGGAGCCAGAAGAAATGGAAGCTATACCGATGCAGAAACCATCGAAGTCGAGGGAGCCATCGACATCGGCTGAGACGGCAACAAAGGAAAGTTCGCCGGTGAAAAAGCAGAGCTCTGGGGAAACTCCGGTTAGATTTTTTAATCTGCTTTTTGCTAACTCTGAGCGAAGCTTTCACTTTCTGGAGCGTTCTCGTTACGGCATATTTTCAGGAAGAGACGTATAAAATTGAAGCCAGTTCGATGCCGGTATCAGAGACTTCGAATGTGCCATCGGTAACAGGAGAAGCAGCAGCAACAACGGCGACGGCGGCCACAAAAGAAATGCCGGCTGTAAAAATGCAGAGGAAGGAAGGAACTCCCGTTTGATCTTTACTTTTGCAGTGCACTTTGTTGTTGTTATTTCTGTTCAAATGTTGCATTAAAATGTCAAATGTGAACGGAAAATTTAAAAGAGGCATTCACTAGTTGCTTCCGTCTGAACTGTATCACCGACAGCAGCCAATCTTTCCGCGATCCAGTGCTCAGTGTTACTGGGCACAGTCAGGACTATTCTACTCATCTCGCGCTGACTGACTCCACTGGTACCAACAAGCAAGGTTACAGTGTTTTTCGTATGGTCCCTTCTTCCCACGAAAATAGCCACTCAATTCAGATCTTACTAAAAGAAGGATTTTATTACATATAAGCAAAAGTTAGCAATAAGCGGTGAATCCCTCCCTCACCTGGATTATGACTGTAGCATAAGCTGTAAATCTGTAGTACCCAAATAGAGGGAATTTTGTCTCGTTGTTCAGTGTCTGTTTCAAAGAGGTAGAGCTAATAACTCAACGAACTGTTTCTTGAGTCTCTTTTCATACCAACTGCAAATACGCTCGATGGGCTTAACGATTGGCTTCCTTTGCAAAGATTGACGGATTTTCTCATGCTAGTGGTTCTTCTGCGATAAGCGCAATGCTGTTGTGAATTTTTTTGTGAAATATTCCACCATGAATATAAAATCACGGCCTGCTGGTTTATTATGCGTTTTGTGCTGTGTAACAGCATTACAAAACGCATATTGTCACGGGGTTGTCTGGGTGTGTGTGTTTGTGTGTGTGTGGGTGTGTGTGTTGTCTGGGTGTGTGTGTTTTGTCTCGTACTTTCAACTCGGAAACCATGAAAGCTGCGCGGCTGAAATTTTTTGGTACAGTGTTCCCCGCCAGCGGGTGGCGCGGCAAATTTGAATGCAGCCCTCCCGTACCCGCGGGTAACACGTACGGCCCCGTGAAAGTTTTTACGGGTAAATTAATATCTCGGGAACCACGGAGTCTAAGAGGCTGAAATTTTGCGGTAATGACCCCTGCCCACGCTCAACCTTGCCCATTCAAATCCAGCGTTCCCGCGCTCTCGGGCATCAACTACGGGCTAGTGAAAGTTTTTACGGGTAATTTATTATCTCGGGAACCACGGGGTCTAGGAAGCTAAAATTTTAGGGTAATGACCCCCTGCCCTCGCTCGACCTTGCCTAATCAAATTCAGCGTTTTCGCGCTCTTGAGTATCACCTACGGCCTCGTGAAAATTTTGGTGAGTAAACTGTTAACTCGGGAATCACGGGAAGATATTCACCCTTCAATGTTTCGAATTCAGCTTTCATGCGCTGGTGCGTGAAATTTTCAACTAT